AGAATAATCGAGAACAGTGCACAACATTCAAAGACTCTCGATGTGGAAACTAAACAATCGATCCATCATCTTTTTTTTTACTCTTCATCTTTTTCGACCCTTTCCTCCTCTTGTCCAGAAAACGGGGAAAAAGTATCCACTTGAGACATATCAGATTATGGATTCAAATTAATGATATACACAGTCTGTTCGGTTTTACGATTCATAAGTGGAGGTTTGAAGTAAACACTGATTAACACTGTTGAATGTAAAATAAACATATGAACCAATTTATTTTACATAAATGACAATGATTTAATTTTTACATATAAATATGTACTTACATCTTGGGTGTGTCTTTTGTCATCATCAAAATTAATTATAATAATAAATACATTTGCTTTTATTTTCACTTACAATAATAAATATTACTTGAATTTGTTGTGTTTGTGTTACAAAATAAAAAGCCATGAAATTTCTGATTGATATGCGTGTGGATATCCTGGTAATCCCTTAAAAGTCGCTCCTGGGTTGACTGAGGATGAACGGAGTCAACACATGGCTCGTAAATCACGCAGAGTCCTGAGTGTGCAAGAGGAAGAGAAAGCCTTCGGTCTGTCTATAGAAAAAAAGGGAACGATGTAACATATATCGATAAAGTTGTCCGGGATTTGTCACAATATAGGTGGTCTCGATATATAGCTTTCACGTGGTCAATAAATTAACCGTCTTGAAACTGAGTACTTAATGTATTTTAAGCGTTTCAAACTAAATGCATAAAACGTTTAGTTAAAGATTTGCAGAAGATATTTACTTATTCATAGATTAAATTTGAGAAATATAATTAGTTTTTTTAATTATATATTTAAAAATAATATCACAACTTTACGTTATTTATATTTAGTATTAACTAAAATATAATAATAAAAAATCTTTATTAGTCACCAATTGTAACCAAAGGGCTATCGACCTTAGTCTTTCCGCCCTAACTAAAATAATAGTTCAGAATAAGCCTTTTCATTAACAATTTATAGATTTATAACAAAACCAGCGGAATTTCAATGATCAATTTAGTAATAAAAGCTAATCATTTTATCAATTAAAAATACATTAAGATGAAACAAAATGTGAAAAGTACAAAAGTCATATTAAGATATAAATTAGGAAATAAAAGTATAATAATGTTTATTTCCATATCATAAACTTCAACAATCGGAATCTTGATAACAGAATATTAATACAATGGACAATAGAAAATCCTGAGAAATATTGTCAAAAGTAGTGAAAGGAAGTTGAATTTTTCCCGTATAAACTAATGTAAAATGCGATAATACGTTCCATTTTTGAGTCATTTTTCTTACAATTTATTTTGCTCGTTAAGCAAGGTTCCACTCTATATCTTATTAATTACAATTGTTGTCTCTTTATTAGTGTGACAACAATATAATCACATAAAGATTCAGGAGAATTTTTAAACGAAACCAATTGGATTGATAAATAAAATAATTATTGTCGTTGGACAGATTTCTGTACTCTCATACGTGAATCAAAAAGTTTATATATGTGTTAGATTGTGCGATAATTTAGCAAAATACTAAATCGAATAATTTGTATTAGAATTAAAGTTGTTGTTTAAAAATTTGAATGTCCTTTTTGATGAAAAAAAATATCAAATTTAATAAGTTTATTTAACTGAAGAATATATTTTGTAGATTGAACATTCTCTACAAGTCCTATTTTTATTTATGTATTTTAGTATGTGCCAATGAAATGAGCGAAATGAATGTTTACAACATATTATACGCAGTATATACAATTAAATGTAATCCTGGATTAATTAGGTAATGATAATATTTATTGTAATAAATACACAAACTATACAAAAGTTAAACAAAAATAAAATAGTTAGAATAATTGTTATTATTCAATATTTGCATACTACTAAATACTGGGTCTATATCGCAAGTCGGACAACCGAAAGACCGTCAAAATCTCGACTGTATCAGAATCTCGACAACCATAATCCTGACTATATCAAAATCCCGACTATATCGAAAATTTTTACAATAACATTTTCAA